CTGCAGGATTTCTCAAACATGCATGAATGAGTCAAAGCAAGGCTTTGGGCATGTTTTGTATGAGAGTATAACATTATAACATGATATAAAACTCAAAAAAGTTGAATTTACATGATATTGCCCCTTTAAAAACGTGTGTTAGAGCTGTTGTCTCACGAAGGTTGAATCTTGGGTGGAAGCCTCTCTGGGTGGAGTGTGCATGTTCTCTCCATGAATACATGTTTTTTTTTTTCAGGTACTCTGGTTTCATCCCACAGATTAAACCCTGTATGTTAGGCTAATTGATAACTCAGACTTTTCCCTCAGCTTTTGTCTCTATGTGTCCCTGTGATGGATTTGCGTGCGACCTGTCCATGCCCCTGACCCTCGTACAGTGCCTGCTGGATTTGGGCACTAACGACCTCAGCCACCTGGAAAGAAAGAAGCGAGTAAAAGATGACGAATGAAACATATTTCATTTGGTAAATTAGTTTTATATCGGGATTCTTGTGGCTTTTATATTTAGATTTTGTAGAAACCATTTTTTCTCCCACATCCTGTAGTTAACCAGTCAACTCATTGAAAGTGCAGCCACCATTGAACACTGTTTTAAACATGTTATGTCACTCTATCAAAATCACTTCACTGACTTCCTTAATTAAAAATGCAGCAATGGTAGCAGTACATAATACAGCCAGGTATGTAACAGGTACGTACTCAGGTGTAACAATACATCAGTTTGTTGATTAAATGATAAATGTTTTAGTTGCATCAAGGTAAAACAAAAACATCCATCCATCTCATTATCTAATGCCTGAGGTGGATCAATACGTTCCCAGATCTCAAACTTTATTCCTTTCCCTGCCTGTGTGTTTGAGTGTGCACTCCTTTGTCTGTTGTGTTAGCAAAATATGTCATGAACCACTTAACTAATTTTAGTATGGTGGTGGGCAATATGCATTCCTTCAAAGAATGCTGTTTTTCTTTTCTAATAAATAAAAAAATCAGTGTTCAGAAATTACACATAAAATAAATCCCATTTGTTTTTGTTACATGTCAAAAATGCAAAAATTAAGAGGTTATTTCCAAGAATTAATATTTCATCTACGCAAATCATAAAGCACTGTTCATTTGTATTGAAACAGCTGCTTAGTGATGGTCTGTGTTTGTACGGTTGTGTTTTTATGTGTTTTTCCAGTGACAGGATGTGTGGTCTCCCACACTGCAGCCAATTCTGACACCCAGTGGACAAAACATAAAAATAACCTTGCTGCAGTTTTCTGATCCACAGCTCCTTTTGTCTGCATTTCATTAATAACTGATGTGTCATTAGTGTGTGCGTGATAAAGAAAGTGTGTAAAACTAATTTGAGCTCAGCATAAATAAATCAGTTCATAATTACATTTACCAGAAATAAGTAGGAGTTCAGTTCGCATGGCTACACTTAAGAATGGCTACAGATCCTACAGACAAATGAAGTGATTAGGGCTGATACATTAAACTGTAAAATTATTCCTTATGGTGTTTCACCTACATCTGTCCTGCAATTTTCAAATTAGACAAACAGAAGTTGTAAAACCAAAGCTTTGATCTGGAGTTAAACCCGAGCCCAACTAAACGGAGCGGTCTGTCTTTACATTTTTATTGGCCTCTCCAGTTTCCATGTGACGCGCTTGTCACAGTAATAAAAACAAACCTAACACATTTAATCATAGTGAGAAAAGAAGCTTGTATGTCTTCTCTTAATGGGGGGGGGGGGGGGGCCTTCATCATATGGGTTTGAACTGCAGCATCTCTCTTACAGATACACTTCAGTTATTAAAACAGTTATTAAAACATACTGGCAATAATTTTTAGCCAATACGTGTGTGTGTGTGTGTGTGTGGTTACGGCTTTGCTGACATTTGGGGGCAATTTTAAGACTAAAATCCTACATTTTGGGACA